CGCGGTCACAACAAAAATGGGGGCCCCCGCGGATGTCCGCGCAGAGCCTCCGCGCACCCTCTCCGATGACAATTTTTACGTCACGCATACCATAGCGGACCCTTGCGGACTCGCGCACGTGGAAAGTATAACACAGGCTTCAGACAATCCATAGAGACTGTGGCGCAGGTTCTGAATGCATCAGTGACCCTGTTTTCAGCGTACTAGAATATGGCGCGCTTCAGTAAACAGTAGACAAATTAAGTGCTTTATTATATACACCACAGGAGCGTTTGGGGATGTGTCTCTCGAGTCTGTGTCTTTGACCTCTACTGATGTTTGATGAAGTATGCTCTTAGATCTTCTCATCTACTCAGATTCTTGGCTTACACATTGCTCTAGTTCTCTAGATACAAATAGCCACTAGGCAGTACATATGTAGGCATTTCCCATCATGCATCTGCATTCCTAGCATGATAGAGCAATCTAGGTCATGGAGGAAGTCTCAGCATGTAGGCTCTTCATCACAGTCTTAAACTAAAAGTCCTATGCAGGCTGACTATGGAAAAAACAGCTTTCTCACAGTTCATTTAAGCAGACTGAAGATGTCTTTAGTATTCTAGAGAAACCAAAGAAATACATGCCATTCTTCATCACTCACTCTGTGTAGTAGTTATATGCACACCTGTGTAGCCCCTGAGGTGTGCAATGTAGATGGTTTTACATACAAAGAGTCAATGAGGCAAGAAGTTAATTCACAAAATATAGGACCATAATGTAATGTACAGCTCTAACCTTATGATGAACTCAACCACACCCTTCTGTGAGTTTGCCGTTTACCCCTCGTTTGGCTGTTTCCATGGCTGTCAGCCAATTGCAGCACAGGCAGCTTAGAGGCCGTAGCTACACTTGAACAATGCCAACATCAGCATAGAGAGAAAGTGTAGGGGCTTCAGCAAGCAGGAAACTGAACCTAACATCCTTTGTTTGAAAGCTGCTGCAGATAATCATGCTTTCAACAGTATACAATTAAGGCTATAGTTTGAATCAATAAGTAGAAAATGAATGGTGTGGTACCTAAAAGCCATTTTGCACTTAAGATAAAAGCAAACAAATCAAACATTCTAACAACTAGACTGTAAAAAAAAATCAATTTAAGACCACCAACAATAGACACTCCATGTTACATTGTTAAGGCAGAGTCACATTTACCATTGTTAGCCGAAATTCTGTGCGTTGAGTCCTGAGTTGAGTAAGGACAGAAAATACCCTCCACTTAGATTTTACATCACATTCAAGATTGTCATGTGAACTCACTGTGCTGCTTGGTTTAAAAGTAGGCCTGGGCGATAAAACGGTATCGATATTTATCGACGGTACACCTTCTTCAATATCGATAGAAAAAATGTTCGATATAGTGCACAATATAGGCACGTGCTATGAGTGACGCAGACAGCACACGAACACATGCTGAAATGAGTGTTGTGCCTGCCTGTGATGAGGAGATTGTGAATAAAGGATGAATATTAGTCGAATTTAAAATAAACATTTGCATATGAATGTTAGGTGTGCATCAGAGAGCGTCATCAGTGGCATGCGAGATGCAGTGATGATGTAAGTGACGTTGTTGCATTTTAATGTTTTGTTAGTCTAGCCCACGAGACTAATATTCATTCAAAATATTAGAGAAATATAGAAGCTCAATGCGGAGAAGATCTTGATTAGGTTAAAACCGAAACCAAGCCATTCACACAGAACGCATATTCAGCGCATTTTTAGACGGACAAATATGACTGCTGCACTCGCGTATTGTTTATGCAATTTACGAAATTATATTTGATTTTTATAAGTTCATTTAGACGTTATGCAGGTTTTTATAGAGTTACTTCCTTGCGTGTAAATGTGCTGCGTTATTTTGCTCATTGCACCCTCGGGTGGCCTCGGGAGACAAGACAAAAGTTTCTTTACAACCCATTTAATCTGCATATAAAACATTAGAAATGAGATATGTTTAATTTTTATTTTGTGTTTGATTGTTAAAACAAAAAATATTTGTTGTTTGTCTCAATAAATTGTGTTAATTTAAAAACACAGTGGTTAAATTTAAACGTTTTTTTCTATTGCTTTTTGTTTTAAAAAAGGTTATAAAAATGTCAATAATTATCGATACCGAACGATATTAAACATTATATCGTTGATAAGGTTTTAGCTATATCGCCCAGCGCTATTTGAAAGTGATGTCTTTGTGTTTCTTGCATCACTACAGAAGTGAAAATGGACCTTTCTCATCCCAAATTTCATTAATGCAACCTCACCTTCATACTGTTGCATGTTTCCCCTTTAAACATCTTGGAAAAGATCTGGGACAATGTGTGCAGTTCACGGCCATCACAAAAGTTGCAGAAACTAAACTTCTGGCTAAAACAATGTTATAATGATAAACCACCCACAAAAGCACAATGTTGCTGTCCCTGAAGCTTAAAGTCTTTTCCACATTCTGCTCCAGCTTGCAGACAGTCCAAGTTCCACATACAGCACAGTTTTTCGTAAGCGATTAGAACACTTGAAAAGAAAGGTCTTAGTACTAGAACAGATCATCCATGTTCTCACTTTAAAAGACAGGTACTACTGAGATTAGGCTCCCACCGACCATCAATGGCAATATCGCATCAAAAATTAAAAACTAAACCTACAAGACAGACTGAAACGCACGTTTTTTTCTCCATAATCCATATCAGTACAATCACATTTTACTTTGTTTCGTCACAAACAATCAGATCCCTTCCACACTACAGCAAAACAGGATATTATTCAGATGTCATCAAAGGATGGTAATCATGACTAGCAATCTGCTCTCTGCTGAAAAATTCAGTTTGGGGACACATTTGAGTAGCATTACAGAGGAAAACAGAAATATGAGCATACACATACATTTGACATGGTGCATGGGTTACTAAGTACATGTGATGATTGTATATCGATTTGTCAGTGAATTAAAAATAAACAAAAACAAACAGGTGGAGGATGTTAAAGCCCTTTAAAACCTGACAGAGATTTGACTGGCGCCTGAATACCATGAGGATTCTTCTAGATAAGGTTAGCGTGGTAGGCAGTGATTACTTAAAGGGGTCATCGGATGCCCATTTTCCACAAGTTGATTAATGAAAGGTCTGTAACATAGTTTGGTTAAAATTTCTTGGTAGTGTAAAACAACACCGTTTTTACCCTGTCAAAACAGCGAGCTGTTTTCTTTCATGCCGCTTTAAATTAAAATGAGCTCTGCTCACCCCGCCCCTCTCTTCCGAGCTGCTCTCTGAGAGACGGTAAACTTTAGCCGCATTCATCGTGAAACTCGGTAACTAGCACATTATTAGGAAAGGCCGTTTGCAAAGATTCATTAAAAAAACTTATACTCGCTTCTTCTGGAGGTGAAGCTGGATCACAAATGATTCGCACCAAGATAGACGCATGTAGACGCAGGTAACTTAGATCGGGGGAGCATTCCCTTCAGAAACAAAAGTAATTCACTGCGTCTTTAGCGGCTCAGATGTCGGGAGTAAATGATGACTGCTATGTTCATTATTACATCCAACAACAAAACACCTCAATCGCTTAGGAGACATTCTTGTCTACATTTGCTCCGGCATGAAGCCATGGTGGACTGTTGACAGCTCACTCAGGACGGGTCAATGCTGAAACTCAATCAAACAATCATGGGTGGGCCTGTCTGTGTGACGTCACACAGACAGGCTTCTGAGATTGGCTCGATTTGAGGAAGGGGAAATGATTTAACGAGATTAAAAAAAAAAACACTGAGTGGCTCTTTATCATTATAGGGTGGTTGTCTACACACACTGCCAACACACATTTCAGTTCAAACAGCTTGTAAAAGTGCATGACGCATCCGATGACTCCTTTAAACTGCGATAACCTAATAATTACTCAGATGATCCACATCTGTAGAGGAGGCAGTAAAATACTATTTTGTTGGAAAACGTAAAATGTTGTGGGTTAAATGTGCTCAACAAGGGTAATGTTTAATGATATGAAGCTTCCTTTGGAGTTAATGTGTGATCTCAGAGTAATTCACCTGCAAGGTCTAAGTGCCCATGAAAACACACTGATTTTCTGTGAAACTGTTTTGAAATAAAACAGATTATGAATACTAAAAGTCTTGGTAAACAATTATTAATTCAAAAATGCTGCCTAAAAACAATCCTCACATATTTAAATGGATGTGCATCCTTCACTATTTTAGTTCCTACAAATATGAAATAGTTCAAAACTTAAATTAAAAAACAGCAATAAAAACAGAAATGAACAAACATTACAACAGCATTTGTATGTTTTCAATGTCGCCAAGCACCAAATACTAAGACCCTTTGAGAACTGAGGGAGGGACACAAAACTGTCAATAATAATTTTGCATTACTGAAACTATTAAGCCATTAGTCTGAAAAAAAAAGAGAAAAAACATTCTCTTAACGAGCAACAGCACATCAGCATCATAAAACTAATAGCTGCCATTAGTGCACAGAGAAAAAAGGTGATTGACTAAAGCCTTGTCACACAATAAAGTTCTGTTTTGAAACTGTTCTGTAATGAAAACTCATTGTTTGCCATCTCAAACAGAGGTATTGTACTTAAAAAGCTAAATGATCAGTGAAACAGCAAACGGCACAGCATGAGGCACAGTTTTTGCACTGTGGATATTCCCATCTCATTAACAGCTTTCCGAAAAGAAACCCCATTATGGATCCCCTGGCAAGGCAATAGGAAGCCCACAATGCCTCTCTCAGCAATGATCAAAAGTCAAACGAAGACTTTCACTCTAGTGTAACGAACCAACATACTGTACGCACTTTCCAAAATGTAGTAGGTTATTTAAAATATACTATAAACACAGAAGCTGTAATAATCAAACTGATGCCTCGCTATGTGAACCGTAAAAATAATCTGACAGACACAATATTGGTAGTTATGACTCACTGCTGACAAAATAAATGAAAATGAATACTTACAGGCATCATTTTTGCTTGTGTCAGAGGAACATCTGGTCTTCAGCTTCACTGTGCCTTTCACAACATCCACAAGGTCCAACCCGAGATCACAGCTCTCTGTAAGTCAGGAAAACAACTTCATTTGCACTATCACTGACACATGAATGTCCACAGCACCAACAAATACAGGCCAAACAGGCCAAGGCTCTGTGCACCGTGTTATTTTAATTAACCCTTTAACGTAACAAGCAACTGGTTACAAGCAACATCTCCTTTAACTGACCAGAATTAAAGAGAAGCTTTAAAAGACACGCTAAACTGGAAGAACAGCTGACTGTGAAATGGCAGATGTTTCTATACACTTACTGCGAGCCTGTTAACGCATTCTCTCCTCACAATGAATGACTTATATATATCGTGTTTTGAATCAAAACTAAGAGGGTTGAAGAACGTTTGTCACATTTAAAGACGTTTATTCCAAGGAGTTTTACTCCATCCGCCCTGTTCGTTTAAACATTGTTCTCACATCTGTTAGCCAGTTAGCACGAACAGAAAAACATCTAGCTGTGCTGTAAATGTTAATTATACACCGACGGTGGATAAAGCTACATTATACTCACTTGTCACGTGTAGATATATGCCATGATCTTTTAAAAAAGATACATGAGGTGTTCCTCGTATCCTTGCGGAGTGAAAGCAGCAGTGTCGATTAACTCGCGAGATAACGTTAGCTAAATGAGTTAGCCTGCTAGCCAGGTAAAACTGCGTTACGCGAAGCGAATGGGAGAAAACCAAACCAGAACTCGCGTATTCATCTAAATGTAGTCGGATATTGGTGTAATGTCTTTTAAAGCACCAAAATAAAAGCAATACAAGTATAGCAAAACAGCTAAAACTGGCTGAGGCGAATACAAGCAGCTCGCGCTGACTGTTGTGTTAAATGATGGCACGCGCAGACCTGGAATGACAGGAATGTGGCGCTTAGTGACTTATGGTTGGTTGTACAGTGAGTGGGGGAAATATTTATTTGATCCCCTGCTGGTTTTGTAAGTTTGCCCACTTACAAAGAAATGAAGGGTATGCAATTTTTATGGTAGGTTTATTTTAACAGATAGACAGAATACCAACCAAAAAATCCAGAAAAAAAAACACATTATATAAAGGTTAGGGATTGATTTGCATTTCAGTGAGTGAAATAAGTATTTGATCCCCTACCAACCAGCGAGAATTCTGGCTCCCACATTTTGGTTATTTGCCCATGTGGAACACAGATTAGTCCTGTCACTTATAAAAGACACCTGACCACACAATCTGTATTCCAACCTCTCCCACCACCATGGGACTGATATAAAGTTGGTTCGATGTTTGACATTTGTCAGAGATTCTGCCTCGGAAATCTTCAATAGTTCTTTAACGATTTAGCACAAGGACAAGAAACATAATGTGTTATAATTGTTTTCAAATGTAGAAGAGAACACACAATGTGTTTTATTTGTTTTAATCTGCGGTATTGTAACTGATAGACCTTATAATGTTAAAGTTCAGGATAGGGACCGTCTGCAAAGTGCAAAACCAAGAGCAAAAAGCACAATTATTCCATCTAAATGCTTCACTTGTGAAATGTATACACAAATCAATCTCAGATCTAAGGGGTGTGTCTTATTACTGGTTCATAAAAGAACATTTAGACGTAGATTTTTTTTATTCACAGAACTATAGCACAACAAAATCTATTGAAACGGAACAATTGAGAAAAAGCTTGCAAAGCATTACAACGATTGTGCAGTTTACCGCCCCCTAGAGGAAGATACTGCACTTATCTTGACCAAGTTTGACATTCAGAAGTTTAAATAAATTGATTTAGAATACACGCTATTTAATCAAATTCAAACCTATTAACATTATTTTTGTAAACATACAGCATTTTATCTCATCTTCAAAGGCTGTGTTTTGTTACTGGTTCATAGAATTACAGTTAGATATCGTTTGAATTTGCAGAACTATAGCACACCACATGCTATTGAAATGTAAGCACATACACCAATTACTAAAAAAATACAAATACTCTTTTATTTAAGCTTTATGGGATGTGTCTTGTAATTGTTTCCTATAATGACATTTAGATGTTGGTTTTATTCACAAAAGTGTAACACAACAAAAGCTATTGAATTGTAAAAACTGAGAAAGAGCTCTGGAAGCTTCCAAAAGAGTGTGCAGTACACCGCCCCCTAGAGGAATACATTGCAGTTGCTTCGACTGAGTTTCATATTCAGAAATGTGAATAAATAAATTAAAAATACACAAAGTCTGACATGTCAACTTTAAAGGGTGTGTCTTGTTACTGGTTGATAGAACAACATTTACATGCTTGTCGAATGCACAGAACTATAACACAATGCACGATATTGAAATGGCAACAAATACATCTATTCATTTCTAATAAATACGCTCTTCTGCCCCAATTCTAAGGGGTGTGTCATGTTACTGGTTCATGGAACAACATTTACATGGTGGTTTTAGTCGCGAAACTGCAACACAGCAAAAGCTATTTAAATGTAAGGATTGAGCAAAAAGCTCACAAAGCCATAGATTGTGCAGTACACCGCACCCTAGAGGAACATGTTGCATTTATTAAGACTGAGTTTGACATTCAAACTTTTAATAAATTAATTTAAAATGCATACAGTTTTCCATCTTAACTTCAAAAGTTGTGTCTTGTTAATTGGGCCTAAAAGAGCCTTAAAGGGGTCATATGATGCTTTTTTAAAGATCATTATTTTGTGTATTTGGTGTAACAGAATATGTTGACA